GAAGGTCCTCACACTTACGATCAGTCCTCGCACTTACGACCCGACTCATTTGTTTGCTTTTAACACTGATCAGCTGTAGGACGGCCCTTTGAAGCCCCGCGGCAAGAGTTTAAACAGTTTTTTTCCCTCTAGTCATCAGCTGGGACTCAGGAGGCAGCAATAGATTGGGGGTGGGACCAAATAAGAATAACGTGGGGGGGTTGGGGGGGTGGGAGGGCGGGGGGGGGAGAACCGGTTCGGTGACGTCATATTGTCACTGCTACCGGCTTGGCTGAACCGGATCAAACCGGGAGGAACCCACCACTGGAATTTCCCAAAACCTTCTTCATTACATCATCACCCAGCAAGATTCAACCAGGCCTGGGATTCAAAAGACAACCTACAAAGTTACCCCTGCATGGCCCCATGGAAGTCGACAAACCAATCAGAATACAAAATCAAAATCAAAGCCAAACAGAGGGTATAAATCTCTATCTGTACTCTCTCTCTCTCTCTCTCTCTCTCTCTCTCTCTCTCTCTCTCTCTCACACCCATGTGTCTTTTTACCCAGGACCCAAAAAACCCATGTGGTCCTGTCCACCATTAAACTGTCTTTCCAAGCACTTTCCATGTTTCCAGTGTCTTTCTTCCCACTTGGAACTGAACCCAGATGGACATTTCTTCCAACGCTACTTTTAAGGAATTGTAGGTAGATGAAACATTCATCCCCCTGCATCATTTGAAGTACCTTTGAGGCTTTGAATCCAAATAACTGTCCAGTAACATAAAACCAACATAGAAAGCAAGTATATTGGATGTTCATATAGTCACTACTCACAGAAGTAGTGTGTAGATATGATAGCAATTACACTTGGTGGAGGGGGGTGATAAGAGAATAAGACAAGCATCCAGGCACTTTTCTCTGAACAATCTATTAAGAGGGGAAACTCTGAAATGCCTAAGTTCTACTGAACTCACATTGCCAGAATTATTCAGTATCACAGAATAATACAGGTAATCCTCCACTTACAAGTTACAATGGCACTGAAAAAAGTGACTTATGACCATTTTCCACACTTATGACCATTGCAGCATCCCAAAGGCAGTCACGTGATTTACATTCAAATTGTTGACACCTGACTCACATTTATGACAGTTGCAGTGTCCCAGGGTCATGTGGTCCCCTTTTGCAACCTTCTGACAAGCAAAGCTAACGGGGAAACCAGAGTCCCTTAACAACTATGTTATTAATTTAACAACTGCAGTGATTCACTTAACAAATGTAGCAAGAAAAGCCGTAAAATGGGGCAAAACTCACTTAACAACATACATTTTGGGCTCCATTGTGGTTGTAAGTTGAGGATTACCTGTGTTGGAAGTTAGCACCCACTCCTTTCCTAGAGGAATGAAATATTTTTAGGAAATATTAAAAAAGGCAGAATATTATATTTCCCTGGATGAGAAATGGATAAGCATGTTTTGAAGCAGCTCCCATCTTCCTGCCCCCACCCTTTGTCAATGGGCCATTAAGGCCTGGGCCAGTCTATTCTACAGAACAAAAGATCTACCTCCTTCAGGCAGAGCCATAGTAGGAATTGCCAAAGATCCAACAAAGATAGGATTAGCCCTCTACACAATAGCACAGAAACTCACATGTGACCTGGGAAGCATGTGACCTGGGAAGCACATGTGACCATCAGCCAGCAAGGCTAGCTAAGACCCCCACCCCCTGGGAGTCTGACAACCAATCAGGATACTGTTTCGGGTCCCCAGGAAATGCAAAGCCAGAGAGAGCATAAAAACCCAAGGATTCGCTGTATCTGCCCTTTTTTCTGTTCAGGAACTCAAGCCATGTGATCCTGTCCACCATTAAACCATCTTTCCAAGCAGTCTCCATGTTTCCAGTGTCTTTTCCCCCACTTGGAGCAGAACCCAGAAGGATATTTCTTCCAACACCTGTAATGACTGCATTTGGGAGTCCAAGAGAGCTGGACAGAATTCTGGTTACAGGCACTGTTTTTTTTTGTTTTTTTTTAACAAAAACCTTCTGATATACCACATGGATCTTAGAAAATAAGTAAACTTAAGTAAGAACACTCTGACAGAATTTATTTTCAATAGCAAAACTGAATAGAAATTATAGTACTCCTTTATAGAAATGTACAGTATACCAGGCTAATACAATTTTTCCTCATTTCAACAGAATGATTTAAAGATAGCAACATAAAAGACTCCTTTTGCTGCTATTGGTAAAAATAGACTATAAGAAACGCTTTCCCATTTCTGGACTGAAGACCTCAAGCTTACAACCTAATAGCATTCTAAAAGTTTAAACTGTGAACAAGGTACTAGAGAGACAGAACTGTCTTAATCTTGTATTGCATTTCCTGAGTTTCAATTAGAAGTTATTCTCATTTCACATTTCATTTCACATTATTCGCATTTAAAGTGGAGCAAATTGCAAACTACTGCATCTTTGTTGTTTCTTATTAATATGCAGCACATTATAATCATTCTTGAAAGTTCCAAAATAAACACATTGAAAAGAAATACAAATCTGTGAAAAAAAATGTTGAAAATGTAAAAAGCTGTTCATGTAGTATTTTACTACTGATGCATGAAAACAAAATGTATAGTGTTTCAAACTTGGAGATATATTTGCTTGAAAGAAAATAGATTCCTACTCAAAGCTTGCAGTTCCACAGGCCTATAGCTTGCCACTGTTACCACTATAATTTTCAACATACAATACTTAAGATAGTTCCAAAACTCCTTCTTTTTATAATTCAATACATTTCTATTATTTTGTCTTTCACTCTCTTTCTGCACCACAGGTGGAACTTTGACTGGTTTCAGAAGCAATTCTGAAGTACAAGGCATACATAAGAACAAGAATAAACAATTGCTTCTGCCTCTGTGCCTGACTTTTCCCAGCATGAACACTATTCTTCACTCTACTATCAGCAGCTGATACTTAAATTGTCAGGAAAACAGAAACATAAATAGAAAAATAGTTATGCTTCCAAAACCTCCAGATTCTTCCTAACCCACAGCAGAATCTACAACGACAGGTCCCAATCTGGATTAACCACTGGATGTACAATTAAATAACAAATCTAGAATTTTTAATCTGATATACAAGGATCTCCTTATAAATGAATTGTAGAATCCATTCATATTTCCACTTTTCAATAGAGCTTTTACAAAGGAAAAAAATGGGATGAGTCACAATATTCCTCAAGTTTAATATGACTTGACTTTCCTTATTTTGAATATTGTAAAGGAAATATTTTTTTATCAAATACTCCCTCTTATTTAAAGTCGACTCCTTGGAGGTAAGTGAATTTTGTGAATTTATGGACAAGTCTATTCTTTATAACAATAAATTGCTACCACTTCCTTTCAGTTTTTTTTTTTAAACTTTGCTGTTTAGTCTAACGCTCTGAGATTACAGGGTGGTCTCCCATCCAGTTGCAAACTATGTGTGACTCTGTTTAGCCTTTTCTCACTCAGCTACTTGCTATGATCTTACTGTTTTGTTTTACCAATTATAGTTCTTCAACAAAAGCAACTACCACCAGTGAAACATATGTAACAATCTGCAAAGGCCAGCAATAATAAGTAAAACACTATCAAAGTTATGAAAATCACTGAGGCATTGTAACATTTAATCCACTTATAAGAGTTACCAAGTGGAGACTGTCAAGAGATTTTCATTCATATATTTACAACGGTACAACAGAAATAATCATATCAACAATAATAGAAATGGTAGACTGGGGTTTCAAAGGCAAAATAATAGAAGTGGGATGTACATTGCTAATTTCAGAGAAGGAAAGGGAAGTAAATCCACGGTATCTAGAAATGTAAGGAAATTCATAATGGAAGTTATCAAAAACAAAACATAATGGAAAAAAAAGAGGTAATAAGTTAAACAGAATGTTACAGACACTAGGAAGAGAAAATTTCAGCAAATGGATTAGTGTACTAAAAAAATCACAAAATCACAGGATTAGGAGAGACCTCAGAGGTCTTCTAGTCCAGCCCCCTACCCAACACATAAAGGGTCTTCTTGCAGTGATGAAAAGGAATGGGGCATGGATGGGCAATGGCAGAAATGAAGGGAAAGAAATGGCAGTGACGCAATTGAACTTATTTTTAGCATATGTGTGTTTTCTGATATTAATGCTGGAACACCACCAGTAAAAGAACAGCAGTAAATATTAACAGCAAAGCTGAAAACATACATGTGGGGAAAACGCATGAAACGGTGTGGTTCCGAGAAAAGTTATATTATAAGGCTTTCAAAGAAATCAAGAGGGGCTATACAAGAAAAGTTGTATTTAGGATAGCCGGTGCCTTAGCGAAAGTGGCCAGTTTCATCGGGAGACCCATCAGTGATGGCAAAGCTACGGTTGATGACAGTAGCGTCCGTCTCGACGATGGATACTAAAATCGATAAACAAGGCGGGAAAGATGGAAGCGATAAGCAGTCAAGGAGGATGACATGGCAATGAGGATGTCGATGGCAAGAAGCTCCACCGCACACAGTAACGGTGCCAGTTATAAAGGGGCATCATCACGACAGGGATGGCCGCACACCATGTGCCGGGTGGATTGCAGCAATGGCAGTTATCAGCAACTATTGCCACCGCTACGCAATGTTACCCGCGGAAAGGAAAGTGACACACAACGGTTACCAGCTAGCCGAAGAAGAGCTGGGGAGGAAAATAAGAGCAGAACAATGAAACCCAAGGAAAGTTCCCTAGCAGCATTTTGATCCTGGCAAGCCAAGAAAAGCACAGGTGGTACAGGTGGCAGTGCCCAAAGTGGTCAAGCAGGGCATGGCACAAAGCATGGTGGCAACCCCAGGGAGGCTGAGCAAAGGTCACCAAAGGTTACAAGGCCAGTGGCCAAGGCAAGCCTCCACACCACCCCCGCCGCCATCTCACACCTGGGCAGTGGGGGGGGGGGAGGAGCCCTGTCCCCTCACCTGCCACCCTCCCCGGTTTTGTCCTCACCTGGTGAGGAAGGCGCCCTGCTGGAGCGGGGAGGCCTGGCCCACAGGACCGAGGACTCCCTGGGCGGACTTCAGCAGCCCGCGGGCTCGCCTGCCTCGCCGCCTTTGCGCCCCCCCCCCCGCCCCCCTAAGTTGTCTCGGCCCGGCGAGTTTCAGGCCCCAACCGTCGCCGCCGCCGCCACCGACGACGACGACGACGACGCCACCACCTCCTCCCCCTCCATGGCTGCCGCTCACCCGGCTGCCGCTGCTGCTGCATTGTGGGAAGCGGCCGTCTCAGTCGGACCCACCTCACTCGCAGCCGCCGCCGCCCAGACCGGCTTCTGCACCAGCAGCAGCAGCAACCGCCGCCGCCGCCGCTGCCATGGGAGCTGTAACCGACGGTGAGAGACGGAGCGACCCCGGGAGCCGGCCGCCACCTCCCTTGCCGCCTGCTTCCGCTCGCTTTTCCCGGACGGGCCCAGCTTGAGCCTCCCCGCCACCTTCCCCCTCTTGGCCGGTAGGGCCTTTCCAACCCGGCTCAGCCGCTGCCTTAATCCTTCAGCCAAGTTGATGGCAGTCGGAGGGGGGGGGGGGCGTAGATTCGCTTTTTCTATGCTTCCCCCTCCCACCCCGAGATTTAGGACTCCCTTCCCCGCCGGCTGAGACTCCCGATTCCTCCTCCCGGGCTCATTGCTGCCTTTGACGGCGCCTCGCAGCTCTCCGTGGCGGACTTCCCACGATACTATTACCCCCCCCCCCCACGAGCCGCAGAAGCGGCGGCCACGAGGTCTTTTTGGGTTTGGGGGTTTGCCTCGCGTGTTGTTGTTTTTGCAAAGACAGCCCGTGGAGCTTCGTTTGGGGCTCGGTGGCGGGTCCAGTTCATTAAAAGGAGAAACCAAAGGAAAGCGCCTTTAGGTGAACTCAGGCTGGGGAGTATTGGGTTGGGTGTGGGTGTGGAAGGTTTGAAATATGAATTTAAGGCTTACTTCTCATCGTACGGCTAAGGCTGCAGGAATATTGTTTCCTGATTGCTTATTTGTACCCTATGACTATCATTGAGTGTTGTACTTTATGATTCTTGATAAACATATATTTTCTTTTATGTACACTCAGAGCATATGCACCAAAGACAAATTCCTTGTGTGTCCAGTCACACTTGGCCAATAAAAAATTCTATTCTATTCTATTCTATTCTATTCTATTCTATTCTATTCTATTCTATTCTATTCTATTCTATTCTATTCTATTCTATTCTATTCTATTCTATTCTATTCTATTCTATAGGGACGACCTGTGGACAGTATTGCTATTATTATTAAAATGCATTTGGCCGTTGACCAGCGCCAGTGGATTCTGGGCGGCACACAAAACTAAAAAAAAAAAGGCACATAAGTAGCTAAAGAGCTAAAGTGAGTAAGCCCACAGGCAACTCGGACTGAGCTAACACAAATTTCACCAAAACAGAACAGGGGATCGAATAACAAACATCAAAAATAATAAGTATCCAAGTGAAAGAGGGGGCGAAGGGGGGTAGAACTAACCCGGTGCTACTGTTTAGTGGTAATCGGGATTCCCCCCCCCCTTCGGTTCACATCTTTCTGTTCTTACACGTTTTTATATTATTCCTTTTTAATAATGACTTATGTTCTGCCATGAGGGTATGTGGCCCCTTTGGCGTTAAAGAGGCAATGTTACAGTGTTCCCTGATTTCAGGTAAGTAATTTGCAACTTTAAAAATAGGGGTTAGAAAAATCCAAAGGGGAAAAGGAGGGAGAAAGAATGCATGTATGATGTTTTTATATTCAACAAGTTGGGCTACAGTGGAGGTGATTCTAGATTAGGCTTCCATAAAGTGGTCATTATCATCCCCAAAGATTCAATGGGACTATCCAAAGAGTCAATTGTTATTATTATGGCTCCTTGGACAGTCATCCAGATGTTTAAAATGGATTTGGCATTTTTGTCTGCCTATCAAGCATCTTATTATTGTTATTGTTATTCATAGTACTATTAACCAAAGTGTCATATATGAAAATATTTTCATTTAATAAACGAACAATCTGAAACTTCAGGAAAGAGTTAATAAACTGAAGAGTTTGGGAACTCCTGTTTTAGTTCTTGGCATCCAAAAAACTGGAGCATACACTGTCATGCCTTGAGCTTTTATTCTTTACAGCTTTCTTTTAAATGGACATGAGACTTATTTATAGAGAACACTGGAATAGGGCAAAGGAATGTTATGTTTGCTAGGGCAAAGGAATGTTATGCCAATCCATAACTTGCACAAATTCTCAGAATTAGCAATTCAGATTGCCAGTTATTATCTATAAAGACTTCATGGCATATATCTTAGGGGGCCTCTGTCTCCTATGGTTTCAGTTCAGAATCATTTCTGTGTCAGATGACCTCTATATCCCCCCACCCCAAAAAAAACTCTGTAGAAAATTTCCTGTATATCACTTTTAGAGCTCTGCATATGATCAGAGGCTTAATTTTTTTACTGTTTTTTACCAATCATACAGACTCTACATATTAGCAGTTGGTCTTTACATACTAAAGCTGCACAAAATATATGATTCTTCCTTATTCCTAGTCTTCCTCCCGTTTTCATGATCATTAATGCATTTTTTTTGCCCAAGAATATTAGTTGATAGCAAGACCTTGCCATGCCTTACATATTTCCAGGCCCAGTTGTATTTGCTTTAAAATTACCATGATTTTCTGCACATACTCTTTTTTTGCTTTTTCTTCTGATTGACGCTTTATTAACTCTTTGTTTTGTTCCTACGTTACAGCTCCAGTACTTTTATATAGCTTATTCTGTTTTCAGTTTTTGTTCTTCTATAGATATACCCCATGGATTTAAATATTAATTGATCTATTTTTCCTCCCAATACTGTGTTTGAAATTAATTTAATACATTTATAATTTTGATGAACTTTTTAAAATAAAATAGTAGTTAATTTTTAAATAATATACTGTATTCTCCTTTTTCTATATTGAAGGCTACAATTCTGTGTCAGCTTTTCTGTTTGTAAACCCCATTGAACATACTATGACTTTTTTTGAATAGGATTGTAAGCCAGTTTGGCACTGGACTAGGAGTAGAGACTTTGGGTCAGTCACTTTCCCCCAGCCCTGAGAAGGCAGCAGCAAACCACTTCCAAAAATGTCCAGAAAACTGCATGGACTTCTCCATATAGTCACTAGGAGTCAATATTATTTTTAAAAATTAAAATAGAATGATGGTGTAAGTTCTCATAACTGATTATTCATATAATTAACAAGTAATTAAATTGTTACAGAGAAATTCCAGTTCAGTTAACAGGATCACCATGGAGGTCTCTGTTTTACACATCATTATTATAAAATGAGTCAGGACCTTTTTGTTAGCTAACAATCCTCCATGACTTTTTTTTTTAGGGAAAAAAATCATTTTTACTGACAGGCTTCTATGACAAGTGATAATTTGTCTCATTTTAGAAATATTATTGCTATTTTAGATGAAGTTATTCGTAAGCGACTTTTGATTGATGGAGATGGTGCAGGGGATGACAGACGAATTAATTTGCTGGTGAAGAGTTTCATCAAGTGGTGCCATTCTGGATCTCAAGAAGAAGGGTATTTTGCTGTCTTTTATTTGTAAATCAAATGTGGAAACAGTTCATTCAACAGCAGTTGTTATCTATAGCACATGTTCATTTTAATAGAAAATGGAATTTGTATCTAATGACCTGTATCTGAAACAGTTTAACATACATACGAGGGGGAACAAGTTATGATACAACATTTTATAACTTTTGAAGTATATCTTTGGCAATATGGTGACTGCTTTGGTAATTAAAATGAATGGGTTTTATAGCAAGTGCTGAATAGTATGATACAGGCTAGCTAATATGTCCTGGGAAAATGCATTGATTTGTATTTCTAAGAAAAACAACAACAAATCATCCTATAAAAGAAAAAGTAAATGAAAGCCATCAGACAAAAATAGTTTGACTTTAATGAGTAAATCATTGCTATTTATTTGTTATATAAGTGTATACTTCTGAAACTGTTTACTTTGGCTCTATTTATATCAGAACTAAAATACTTAATAGATATAGTTTGACCATTATAAATATCAGCTTTCCAGCTTTCAGTTAACGCTTTTAATAACTTTCAGAAAGTCCCAGTTAAAACAGGTTTAAAATTATATATACGTATTGTATGTTTGAAAAAAAGTGATGTTATCTGCCATTGCCTGTGTCAGTGTTGAATATTAGCATTCACAAAGATAGATCTTCTCTATGATGATCTGTCCTGAAAATGGTTCCTTAAATTTTCCCATGGTGCAGTCATTGCTTCTATAATTAAGGGAATCTACCTTGCTTCTAGTTGTCACCTTTTTTGCATTCTTTTTGATATTTCTCAATATTATACACTTCCGAAGAGACCTAGATCGTACATATGTCCAAAATATGATCATTTGAGCCTGGCCATTTGTGCCTGAAATGAGAACTCTGGTTGTTCTATGTTACTTTTTGTTTTTATTTTTTTGGCTACATATGGTATTTACAGAAGTCTATCTTATTGCCAACGTTCAAAAGCATCAATAATATGCCAATAAAAGAGAATAATTGTAGCTCAGGATTGAACTACAGAGTTCTTGTTGCTCTCTGAGCTTGGTTGTGTTCTTACAGACATTTCATAACCAAACTAAGTAACATCATCAGTGCTCGTTTAGAGTGGAGCTTGCTCTCATTTTATATACTAGTGGGTTTCCGTGTCAGTATTTGTGGGAGTGGTCTTGATTGGCTATAGTTTACTGTTAGCTTGTGTGCTTTGTATTACCTTGTTTGATTTGGTAGTTGCTAAGATCTACATACCATTCAAAAAAGACAGTCAAAAAAGCCAAAACACCTCCTTACCAACAATCAGTATCCAAATGAGCAGAGATTAACATTAAGATTAACATTAGATCAACAACCAAGAAGCAAACAATACCTCATGGAACTACCATCAAAGATTGCACATTCTATTGAGTCTCCTTTTTTGATACTGATACACAAACCTATTTCTTTCAGTCTGTTGGCCACAGTGTCATTTTTTCAGATTTGCTGGCATAATTTGGTTAGAACCTTTAGAAAAAACAAAAATAAATCTACTTTATTTTAACTTGCTTCTAGTTGTACCAAGGATAGTGCCTTGGGGAATTGTTGATTAGCTACTAATACCATATGTTCCTTCTCTGATGTTTAGCTATACTCAGTATCAGCGCATGCTCAGCACTCTTTCACAATGTGAATTTTCAATGGGAAAAACTTTACTAGTATATGACATGAATCTCAGAGAAATGGAGAACTATGAAAAAATCTACAAAGATATAGGTAATCATATTTTTTCTGGTTATTAGTGTCAAATGCAAACTTCTTTTAAAAAAAGGAATTACTCCCAATCAGGTATATGAAGGATTCTGAGGTTGAAGTATTCTAACCCCTCTTCTGAAGGCTGGTTCAGGTTGAGATGCTTTTAGTTAGATATTGGAGCAGATGAGCAGAACCTCAAATATTTTGTGCCATTCTATTGGCAAGACTTATTGGTACCATATAATGTTTTAATTACCATAGGTGTAATTCTTCCTTACAATTGTTCTTGAAGATAAGATGAATTTATTTCTATCTTGTGAACTGAAAGCTAAATTTTAAGGCAATCTTTTTGCCTTTGTTTAGAATAGCATCCTAGAAGATTCACATGGAAATAATGTTCAGGTTGCTACAAAGAAAGTGTACACTTTTTAAAATTCAGTTCCTATCTAGTGGATTTTAATTTATCTGTCATTAGAGATGATAAAATGCCATATAGATCAGTTTTTACTAGCTTAGCTAGTAAATTAGCTGTGATAGTATCTGGTCATCATTAGCATCATCAAGCAACTTTCCATTTGGTCTACTAACGTATTTTGTAAGAATTGCTTTTAAAAATATTCTGGAAATTTCAGATAATTGACTGAGTGATAAATCACCATGTCAGAATTCTGAGACCTTCACTGGTTCCCACTCTTAGCTGAAAATGTTGACTTAGAAGTGGCAGCTGCATTGATCTCACTTTTGTGGAAGCCGTATTTTTTTAGCACAAATCTTTAGAGTTGTTCCATTTTAATTAATTTTGCTTTTGTTACCGTTCTATAGTTTTTAATACATTTTATTGGTTCATTGTAAGTAGTTTAATTTGTTTTCATAGTAAGCTATCCGAGATTGTGATTACAGACCGATAAACATTTATATTATGTCTAATAGAACCAGATTCTTCTAATTGTCTCACATTTTTATAGAAATAACTAGTTTCAGCACACATAGACAAGCAGATAAACGTTCTGAGTACTTTGGCAGTAATTACAATATCAGAAAATGCAATATATTTTAATTTCTTGATCTATTTAAGTTCTGGAGATGAAAATCAATTTGGGTAATGTTGCTACATACTGATTGGTGTAATTTTTACAGTTTAGTAATATTGTGAGATTTATACATTTATGTCATTAATTTTATTTCTTTGGAAGAAAACAGCATAGCTGCAGCTCATGAAAAAATTGCTGAGTGCAAGAAGCAAATTCTTCAAGCGAAAAGGATACGAAAAAACCGCCAAGGTAAAGTTTACTTTGCAGTTGACAACTTTATTTATTTATTTATTAAATTTATATGCCCCTCCCCCGCCATCTCACTGTTGAACTCTGGGCAACTTACAAAATGTTAAAAAGGTAAGATAGCAATAGCATTTAGGATTATATATCACCTCATAGCACTTTACAGCACTCTCTGGGCAGTTTACAGTGTCGAAGCATTATTTACATATTGCACCCAACAATCTGGGTCTTCAATTTACTGACCTCAAAATGATGGAAGATTGAATCAACCTTGAGCCCCCATCAGGATTGAACTCCAGGCTGTGAGCAGAATTTGCCTGCAATACTGCACTTTAACCACTATGCCACCAGGGCTCTAATATAAAAACAATTAAAACTAACAAGAATAAAATAGAAACTAAAAATGAAGAGAACAGGTGGCACAGAGGGTGGGATCTGCTGTCTACCATATCTCCCTGCACGCAGAACATGCCTATTGGGGCTCCAAGCTAGTGGGTGGAGCCAGGTTTTAAGGCCCTTCCAGAAGGCCAAGGGGGAGGGAGCAGGTCTCACCTCTGGCTATCAAGTGTTCCAAAGGATGGAGGCCACAACAGAAATGTTTCTTTCTAGATTATGATGGATAGATAAACTCATTTCGGACTTTAATTTTCAAGTGATTCTAAGCATCCTCAAACAGATTAGTGACTTTGGAGCCTATGCATTTAATTAGTTTCTGAATCTTTTGGAGAACCTATTCAGATATAAAGATCTCTAAAGAGTTCATTTTGTCAAAGACTACTGAAATCATCAATGCTTCTTTTTAGCAGATGGAATTCTATGTCCTCTTAAAAGAGATAGTGAGGCCTTTGCTTAAAAATTGTGGATCCCATATAATAACTGTTAGATAGGGTTCAT